CGGTGACGTAACGCGCAACGCTACGTACCCGTAATCAACTTCCTACTGTGACGTGGCACTCATTACGCAACCGGCAAGCACTGCAGCTATATAAGTGAGCTGCACAGCTGGTACCAGTCAGTTCTAATGTGGCTACCAGCGTGTTCTACTGTAGCAGTCGGCGACTTCAGTTGTACTGTGACAGCCACCGAGGTATAACGTGGCCATCGCCGAAGATAGTCCGAGCAAGCCTACGAGAGTGTGTTATCAACAGTTCTCCAGTCAGCGGACTGCAGTTGGAGTATAGCAGCCGTCGCGGAAAGAAGAACCGGACGTGTGTGTGATTGTGTAATTGGGAGCGTGTGATACAGTGATACATAGCTCCCCTACGGTAAACGTGTAGACTACTGAAGACAGAGTGAACTGATTTGCGCATAGGGTTATAAATCATGAAACCCCGCAACAGTGGTAACAGATTAATGCGATTAGGGTTATAAATCGTGAAACCCCGCAACTGTGTCATAATTAATTGTAGCCGTTATTTGTAGATTGTTAAATAAACCAATTAACCATCTCTACGGCGTCTTCAGTAACGCAAACACGTTACAATATATTATTTTAATTAAAAATGGCATTAGCCTATTATACATCAGTTTTTCTAATATTTTGGAAAATGCCGATAAAATGGATATCGGTCTATAGTTTTTAATATCATAATATTCCCCTTTTTTATGCAGAGGTATCAATTAAGAAATGTAATGATTTTAATAAACTGTGATAATGGAAAAAGCCCAAAATAATATGTATTTTTAAATTATGTCCCCCCATCATTATGAAGCTTTAAACTTTTCAGTCCAGATATTCTAATCTGCTGTATGGAGGTTTGCTTTGTTCATGTGTATTTGCTTGTTAAATATACCAGAGTAGAAAAGGAACATGCATTTTATTTTTGTTGTACATTGTGTTCTGAACTGAAGAATACTGTTTTCTGGGGTGTGACACTGTGCAGCCTGACGGAATTTCACCACCATTTCAGAAGGATGTCCTGCCTCAGTCAGCAGAATTGGTGACTGAGCCAAGCAAGTAACTAGCAAGGGTCTTTTTTTGTCTAACTCTTCAACCCTGAAGATGGAGGTAGCATGTTCTTCTCAAACATCAATGGACTACCAGACTAAATAGCATCACATCCAAGAAGATTAGTAACTCTTCATAGACATCACCTTGTGGACCTCTGATTGAAAATGTCCCTCCTCCCCCGCCAAGTTCATGTTTGCATAATTTTAAACAGACTTGATCGTTTTGTATCATATTGAATGTTGTTAACTTTTAGATGCCACTCCTTCAAAGTTTTCAAAGAAGGTGCATGCTTGTGTCATCCTTCAGAGACAGTCCTGATTATTCTGCGTTCCAGTTTTATTTGAGAGCCTTGCAGCAATATTTGAACACATGGCTCCATGGTTCTTACACACTTCCTTTAGTAATATTTTACATCATCTTTCTTATTTTCAAGCTGGAAACTTGCGTCTTGAAGTCTATGATCAAGAGGATGAACCCAGGTTCCCTATAGCAGTATTTGAACCTCCTGACCCTACCAAGAGACCAATGTACTGCAAAAGCAAGGTGAGGTTATTTGAAGCAGTAAAAATCGTGTATCTGCATGTCACAGTACACATTCAGGGAGCAGAAGTCCACTGCAGTTCTGTCTGTTTATAGTCTTCACTTTTATTCACTTCAGAATAGAATGTTAATGCCTTCACCACACACTTCACTTATAAATTTTACTTATTACTATGATTCTTGCAGGTGTATTCTGGTGGAACAGAGTTCAGTTTCGAAGAGTTGAGAGCATTTGAATATTTGAAAAGTAACAGACCTTCACTGCATAAAGAAAGTAAGAAAATTAATTTTTACAGCCATAATGTATAAAAGTAAAAATATTTTCACTTTAGTTCTAGCACTGGCATCTTCTTAAGTGCCACAGCAATTTGATGTGTAAACAATTTTGTATATACAGTAAGATGATCACAAATTCAACTAACCTCTATCGCTGTCTGCCACTGTTGCTCGTGGCAGCTGGGACATCTACCTTGTAGCAGGTGAACAAAACATATGCACATTGCAATTTTGTTTTTTGAAGTAATTTTATAAAAATTATAATTTTCATTGAAATTCCTGCTAGTTGTATGAGAATTCCAGATGCCAGATAACAGGGAGTTTACTGTGGTGAACTGTTATATCCATTTCTAATAATTTTTATATTCCTTTGTAATATGCTGCTGAATGTAATATGAATACACTACAGACCTTTCAGTTGGAAATATTGTTTCATGGACAGCAAGCTGATTGGTGGAAATGGAAAACAAATAGCAGGTGGGAATTGTGATGCCTGAAGTTGTCACCACTGTTTTTCCATGGTCAGATGTACTTGTGGGAATTCTAGCTAGGTAGTCTTAAAATGCATTTTATTTTTAGCTGCCTACACATAATATCGCTTAACCTTGTGTTGAGACTCCCAGAATGCATTAGCACAATAGAAGATGCCTTTACCATAATATGTTATGTAATTAGGATGCTACACTAAAGTGAACTGAACAAACATATTACTGAAAGTTTTGAGAGCAAACGGTGTCAGTGTCTGAAGCGTGTGTTTTCTTTCTTTCTTTGTCAGCATGTACAGATGAGCAAGGAGCTGATAATGAACCAACTGTAGCAAAACTGTATGGAGAAGAACTGCATAAGATCAAGGTGTTTGAAGCTGCAGACACTGAAACAAAGAAAACAGATTTGCCAGTTGCAAGAGATACTGAGAAGCAGCAGTTAAATTTGTATGTGGACTCAAACATTCCTGCTGCTCCTTTCAGTTTGCATGTAGATGCTGAGAACAAAGAGGAGGTTGTATCTGGACAAGTACCTCCTGTGATGGGCACCGTATGCCTTGATCGCTTAATGGGGAAGCAGAGCAATTGGATGAGAAATGATGATAAAATTGATAGTGTAATAACTGCATTATCAGAAGCGTTGCCAAAACTATCTCATACAAATCCCTCACTTGTAAGTTTACAGCAGCAAAATCATATAACCTGTCTGATAATACAACCCAGAGGCTGAGCACTGCTAATACCAAAACCTTCCAGATGCTATGTAGTCTGGTAGAAGTTCACAAACATTTTGAAGGCATGAACTGCCTCCATCTGTAAACTTCTATACTATATGGCACCAAATCCCAGAAGTCAGATCATCAAATCCATCCTGCCCTTCATTGTCTGAGCTAACTAAATCCCATAAATATCCTCTTAATCTAGTTCCCTAAGGTCCTTTTAATATTTCCCCACTTTTTTTTTAACTTCAAAGTAGTCATGACCAGTAGGTTTTCATAAAATTGTGTTATGTATCTTGTTTGCTTCAAATGTGCTACATATTTTGCTCATTACAATATCTTTGATTTGACCATTCTATCTTTACTAGGTGAGCTGTGGAAATCATTGTGCAGTATCCCCCAGTCTCCACAAACTCACTGAAAATTAGCATGGAAACAAATCTTCCTGGCAGTATAGGGCAGCTGGTGTGTAAGGCTGACAACCTCACTGCCATCTGTGAGCCAATTGTCTAGAAAATATGGGAGCCTCAACATCTCACAACCCTATGGCCCTCCGCGACTTGTTACAGGGATAGCTTTACTTTACTTTGCTTATAAATCTGTGTACTGCTTGTCATCACAAAACTTATGCCAGTCTGTAAATCACATACCCTCATTTTTTGTTGTAAAGTTAGAAATAAATATATTTTATTGTATTTCAGTCATTCCATTCTTTTGTATTAGGAGTGGCTCCAACAGAAATACTCCCTAAAATCGGGAAGGTTTAGCATTAGGTATGAAATCTGAATGAATGAGAAGATATACGGCATTCAGTGTAGTTAAGTGAGAATTGCTGTGTGATATTTGGCTTAACCTGGCAGATATATGAATGTGAACACTGTGCCGTGCCAAAGAAACATAATGGAAGTGATATGAACATTTAGTTAATAAATATCTGCTAAATTTAAATGAGAAACAAGCTGTCATTTGTTATCAGTTCATCCTATATAGGACCTTTACCATTTTCAGCGAAAATGTTTTATTTTTATGTTTAGGTCAAGTGAACACTGTATTGATTTAAAGTTTTTAAAAATTAAATGATAACTTGCTTGCATATAAAAAATCACCTTTGAATGTCACAGTATGTGAATTAACTGTTTTAAATGCACCCAATTTCACTTTAATTTGCTAAAATTTTAAAATTGTTAGACTTAATTTAACATTGGACTGAAACATATTTTTCAGTATCAGGCCCCAGTGGTAATAATCATGAGCCTTGTGTTTATGAAAACCAGAACTCTGTTAGGCAGTAGTATAGAAATAATATAGTAGATAATAAAATGGCAGATGTAAGAAATAATGAAAGTTACACAGATATTAATCAATTAAATGTTAGATATCAGATTTATGCCCGTATCATACAACACAAATGAAAGGGTGTGACCATCTGACTGCCTCTGCACCATGGCCAATAACGATGAAAATCAGAGATTTTGTACTGTAATACCTAGTCATATGGTCATGTCGGAACTGAGCTTAAGTGGTAGTTATGTATAGAGGCAAGCATTTTGTTTATAATTTTGATATAAATTTGTTCTTTGCTTTGTCATTGCCTTTAACTACTAGAGTAATCTCCTTACAGAACTCAAGCAGGATTGATCAGAAATCATTATCTGTCAAAGTGTGTAAGAAACCTGTCATTTGCAAGTGCTTTGTCTCTTTTCTATTATAATGTAAGTAATAACAAAGAGTAATATAGTGAAGTGTATTCCTGTCTTACCAGGTGGCAGATTCATCATCTCCGAATACCAAGATGTCAAATGAGTCATGTGATCAATCCTTGTGTCATCAGTCCCTCACGTATCACACTAAAGAAGCAATGAAAATAATGCACGAGTTGTGGACCACTCCAGAGGACAAGAAGCTTCAGTGTAATGTTAATTGAGGGTGTTTGAAAACAATATCTGTCAACTCATAATTGCATTCATAAGAACCTGCATCCAGCCCATATCATAACACAATTTTAATATTATCCTCCTATGTATTCCGACGTTTCTGAAGTAGTTTCCTCTGTTTGGCTTTTCTGCCTATGTATGCACCTTTCACCAGTGTTATCCCCACCCATCACATCTTTGATTTGATGGCCCTAATGATATTTGATGAAGAGTACAAATTTTGAAGCTCCTAATTGTACAGATATTACCATTCCCTGTTACTTCATCCCTTCTGTCCAGATCTTCTCAGTATCCTATTTTCAAATACTGTCAATGCATGCTTGTTGAATATCTGTACCATGACTTGTTTATGGTTGTCAGAGATGCCCCTAAGTACAGGCTGCTCCTATATAAAACTATTTGTTAATTTATGTCTAGGCTGTTTTGTCCAATGGGATATATTTACTACAATTTATGGAACTTCAAGGTAGTTGTGTGGATACAGGAATTTCTTTCAGGATGCTCACAGAGAGTTAGAGTAGACGGGCACCTATCTGAAAAAGTCAGAGTGATGTCGGGAGTGTTTTAGGACCACTACTATTCCTGGCTCATGTTAACGATATTTGTAGGGACACTGACTCAAATATACAGTTACTCACAGATGAGTGATAATATACAGAAAAATATTGGATAGTAGTGACATTGGCAAGTTGCAGATGGACCTAAATATATTAGGGGAATGGGCAGTAGTAAGCAAAATGAAGATAAATCCAGATAAGAGTAAAGCGGTAAGTTTCACGAGAGCTAGGGTGAAGGATCTACTGACGTATTATTTTGGGGACCAATTAATTCTGGAGGTAAATAGCTTTAAGTACCTAGGAATAATCATACGCAGCGATCTAAGATGGGCAGATCATGTAAACTATACCCTATGAAAAGCATGGAAGGCTCTTCATTTAATAATGCATATACTGAAACAGGGCAATAATAACACGAAACATCTAGCTTATACGTCATTAGTGAGACCGATACTTGAATATGGTTCGGTATGTTGGGATCCATACAGAGAATGGCAGGTTAGCACTTTAAATTGGGTACAAAGAAGAGCGGCTAAATTTTCCAAATCCTACAAATGAATCTGGCTGGGAAAATCTGACACAGCGTAGACTGATAACCTGTCTGTTCGCCCTCTACAGGGCATACACCAGGAGACCGGCTTGGAAAGCATAGGGGATAGCCTGCTTCAACCATGCTACCTGAGTAGGGACAGTCATATTTGGAAAGTCAGAAGCAGGAAACAAAGAACTGATGTTGGCAAATATTCTTTTGTAAATAGGACCATAAAGGATTGGAACAGTTACCTGCAGGCATACTAGCGTCTTTCCCCTGTAAACTAAACACTTAGGAGCGCTGTTGCAAGTACAGAAGTCTTATGCGGAGTTAAATGAATCAAGTGAAGTAATGTGAAGTGTCCTTGTTCGAGTGCAGTGAAACGAGCACAAGGACATGCCCTTTTATAGTTTATATGTTTGGATTTGCACTGTGTGTACCTTGTTTTTTGTATGTATTTTGTTTTGTATTCCCTTATGTTATAGACTTTCCTTGTCTGTATCAGTGTAAGTTCTACTGCCACTGGGTGAACACCCAATTGCAGTAAAATAATAATAATAATAAATCACTTTATTAGTTAACCTAACACTTTGCATGTGTATATGTATACAGTTTATCCCAGGAGGAAATGTCAATTTTCTAGGTCATATAAGTTATTCTAAGCAAGAAAGTTTATATGTACGTGTGTTCTAATTTGAATGGTTTCCAAGATAGGGCTGTTTCAATGTACACTGTACAGACGAGCAACACACCATGACAAGATGCAAAGTGCATTGATGTTGACAGTGGAATATTTGGAACTGTATTATACTAGGTAAACTTTACCAACTTTGTCACTTGAACAATAAAAACCGGTATTAGAAACAGTACGTAATATCCCTTTTTTATTAACAATTTTGAAGCTGTACAGTGAAATAGCTCTCTCTCAGAAACTGTTTGGAATAGGATACATGTACACACACACTTTTTTGCTTAGAGTGACCTATACCATGACCTCCCAGAATATTTACTTTTCCTTCTGGAACGCTCTGTATATTAGTAATAAAGGAGCCCACACGAAATAGTATCTTTAAAGAAAAACATGTTGCTTTGGATAGAAATTATGATGTCTGCTTTCCTTTAAATGCTTGCATCTGTAAATAGAGGCAAACTTATTTGTTACCATTCAGTTCATAATCTTTTATCTCTCAGAACAACATGTTTCAGCCCCAACTGGCCATCATCAGGTATCTTAATTTGCCAAAGCCGTTATACTGTGTTGAATGTCACTCGTTCACTTCACATGTAACTGCAATATTTCATGATTTTAAATGTTGTAATCTACTACAAGAGAGGACAACACCATACGGTGGTGGAGAGAACAATGTACAAACAAAGGACAAAACGTAACCACATCACTGGCTTAATGTATAGAAAACGCCAGGCCACTATAATATAAACATCCAAGGAAAAGGATCAAAATATATTGTTTGGACAAGCAGACAATGCCCTAGTGAGGTGTAAAAAAGAATTTTACAAAATTTTAAGAAAAGAGAAAAATAATTTTTTGATGAGTTCTAATAGAAAGTAAATTACAGCATATGGTAATTTAACTAATGTTAGCTAGATGGTTGAAACAGACCGTTTCCAAAACGTTGTGTACTGAGTCATTTTCATGTGGCTGGTTTTCCAAAAAAATATTGTGCAGTAGCATTGTTGATTGATTCTATTTTTGATGTATGTGTAGCATAACTTTTTTGACGTGTATGTCTTTTGTTGAAAAGTATCTAAATTAGCTTCAGAGGTTGTAATGTATAATAATGTTAGTATGACTGTTATATTTGCAGATAATAGACATCATATTGATGGTTTTGGATCCAAGAAGAGAATACTTCCATTTGAAAATGTAGGTGCACAGTGTTTGGATACAGAACAACCTAGAGTAGAAGTCAAACCTTTTGAGATCTTCAAGGATGAGAGTAACATTCAGGGACAAGGAAGGAATGATGTTTTTTATGCACCACGACCTGAGGGAAGAATTACTCAATTTGAAGTCTTCAGAGGAGAAACTGAAGTTATGCAACAGGTGCAGAATTCTTCAGACAGTTTGTCAGATCCAGCAAAGTGTAAATTGGAGGCTGGCTGGATTCTCAGAGACAACCCTCAAGCTCCAAACAGAGAGAGGGGAGATAATGAGATGTTCAAACCAACTAAAGTTACAGACGAAAATTGCCCACCCAGTTATTTTAGAGATGATAACAGTCCAGACTTTCGCACTGATCAGCCATGGGGCTCGGAAATTGAAACTTGTAATTGTGAAAACAATCTTAATTCTCAAAGTGCTCCTTGCAGCCACATCAAAATCATCGTTAATGCACCAGTTCAACCAGGTATGTAAGTCCTTTCTCCTTCACATGCTACAAGCCAATTAGATCAGCTTTTGAAGGCTTTTTTGAGGAAGTGGTGCAAGTTATTATATATAACTGCATTTATCCCAAAGCAGTCTTGACATTGGCATCTATAGAGGGTAGTTCCATTGCAGGGACTGGCAGTCGAGGGGTTTAAGAAAAATGTAATCCTTCAGTTATGACATACTGAAAAGTGTTATACACAGACATACAGATTTTAATGGATGTGTCATATTTACACAGACATTGCTACAGTAGAATATCAATGATTCTCTCATTTTCAGGTGAAATATTGGTATGAGAATGGAAAAGGTATGCTCCACTTTGGAGTACATACATATGTTTCAAAACTTTATGATCTTGTATCTATTATTGATCTCAGTGTTCATTTATAGTAGATAGAAATATACAGCTGATTACCAGTAGAGACGATACACTGCAACTCCTGAGTTTGACACTGAATTTTCCCAACAACTCTTACTACAGACATCTGATATATTTCATTACAGTCCATTAAGTAGTGTTTGAATGTGAGGACAGGTATGCCTTTATTGTGCATTTTTATAATTCTCTTTATGTAATCATCACAAGTCTTAATATCATCTAAATTTACTGCTAAGTTACTCTGTTATGAGGCTTTACAGGAAATCATAATTTCAATCTAAGCCACAATTTTTGTGAGTAGAAAGCAGTAGTGCTGTATGAAAGTGTGTCATGACAAATGTTGTGGTTTGCACACTCATATCTTTACGGAAAGATTGTCAAGGAGTACACACACCAGTGTAATGCTTAACTGTCCAGGTTGAATCTTGGTTTTTAGTGTCTGTATACGATGGAGTACCCAAAAGAAACCGAACTAATTTTTTTGTTGGCAGAGCTTTTGTAGTACCGCGTTTTGCCGCTATGAGCGCATAGAGCTAACATTCCTGAGTCGATAAGCCGACTACTGTTGCTTCAGAAGGTAAGGACTAGTTTCGGCAGAGTTTATAGTGACAACTGTTTTGTGTGATCGTCGTTTTTGCAATGGCTGATTTTCGTGAACAGCGTGCGGCAGTGAAATTCTGCTTTTTGCTCGGGAAAAGTGGAACAGAAGCTCTTGAAATGTTAAAAATGGCGTACAAGGACGATGCTATGGGGAAAACTCAAGTGTTTGAGTGGTTTTCCCGTTTCAAAAATGGTGAAACGTCAATTGATGACAAACCTCGTTCTGGTCGTCCTTCCACAGCCCGAACACATGAAAATGTTGAAGAAATTCGTGAAATCATCAAGGAAGATCGACGACGGACCATTGAAGAAATTGTGGAGCTGTCGGGAGAGACTTGGAGCTCAGTGGCCAGATTTGTGGCAGTCGGGTGACTGGTTTTTCCATCATGACAATGCTCCTGCTCACACAGCCCTGTCTGTACGACAATTCTTGACCAAAAATGGTATGACCCCATTCCTCACCCTCCATACTCACCCGACCTTGCCCTGTGCGATTTTTTTTGTTTCCTCGAATGAAAAGAGACGTGAAAGGAAAAAACGACGGAGGCGCTGTCAAGCATCTCAAAAGATGAATTTAGACAATGTTTTGAAAAATGGAATAAAAGACTAGACAAGTGTATTAGTGTAAGTGGAGAGTACTTTGAAGGGGATTGAAGGTTTGTGCTTAAAATTTGAATAAATAAGTTCGGTTTCTTTTGGGTATCCCCTCGTATCTTCTGCAGCACAGTTTGAACCTGTGCTATAACTGATCTCCTGCTTTAAATCCAACATTTATGATGTGTTGTGTATTTATATGAAGGTATTCCATTCATACCTTCTCCAGGCATGAGTGAAGAAGAGGAAAAGGCTCTGGAGGGAACGGAAGACAAGGAGAATGTATTACCTGAAGGTGTTTTACCACTCAGATGTGAGAAGAGGAAAATTGAGGGCATTCTGCAGCCTTCAGGAGCATTTCCTTGCAGTCCTGAGGATGATCCAGCAGCAGAGGAGGTATGAGATTTAGAGCATTGTGAACTCTGATTCTAGTGAGGGGGTTATTCAGTTGAGCAAGAAATTCCTTGTTGCTGTAAGAACTGAAGGCTAATTCCACTAGTCATTCATCAACACTGGACCTTATGCAGTAAAGTTGCAATATTTGGCACCACCAGGACCAAGGGGTTGCTGTATATCTTAATTTTCTGGGTATTAGAATGTTATACCTATCATGTCTCTTGGAATACTTAGCAACCTCGATGACAGACCTAAACGTTTAATTTGCCACTCGATATCGCGTCTTGTTTTCCATGCCACACTTCCTATCCCCTTCTCAATATTAATAAAAGGTAAAGCTATCCCTGTAACAGGCTGTGGAGACCCATAAGTTTGTGAGACATGGAGACTCACATTTTCTAGACAGTCGGCTCACTGACAGCAGTGAGATTGTAAGGCTGCCCTTTACCTGCAGGAACGTTCCTGGTACTCATTTCTATTAGAGGCTGAGCCGACCCCAGGGCCATAATGTGGCTGGAAGGATTAGATGAATTGAAAAAATCAAGTGACATCAGGAATCGCACCTGCAACCTTCCAACTTACACCCATATGTCACACTTTTATCATCATGTATTCAGTTTTCAGTTAACAGACCTTTCTGGATCATTCTGTGCCAGGTATCACAGCTTTTACTGTACTAAGTCAGTTCAGTCTAGTTTGCAGGAAATATGTGCCTCAGTGTTCCTTTCAGCAGGTAAATTTGCACTTCTAGAAAGTGTCTCACTCTGAACGCATGATTCAGTTCGTTAATTTGAGTGACTGATATCAAGATATGCCTCAGTATTGACAAATCATGACTTAAGTATCATGATAATGGCTGACTACATGAAGTACAGTTGCACCTTGACATACAACTTCCTGACTTATGAATTTCCAGGTTAATAATCCTATTAGATTAACACCCATTTTTCTTACACTTTGAACTGTTGGACTTACAACCCAAAAATTGATTTTCAGAATCTTTGAGTGGGATTTCCCAACATATCAGTGCTGCAATGAACTTCATAATGGTCGTTATCCTTGATGTTGAAAGGTTAACAGCATTCAGTGTAAGGCTAACAAATATCCTTGCTGTTACAAGGAGATCTACAGGGAGAAGAAACAAACAGCAGATTATCCCACCCAGGACAGATTCCTGAGAAAACCCAAGGCCCCCAAAACAGCCCTCCCAGCATCCTCTGCCAAGCCAAGTCTCTTCCAGAATCTCATATAACCCGACCTCATCTATCTGAATTCGACAGAGTGCTGGAGATGTCAGATTTTGTTGCTAATTTAGTTGTTTATAAAGTTTGTGAATGCTCTGGTAGCTGGAATTATATCTTTGAATAGTCCACATTGTAGTGATATGGTGGCTAGAACTGTAACTATTAATAGTCCATGGTAAAACATTTATTAAATTTCTTCTTAAAATATTTTTAATAGTGTGAATATTTAATACTATGTTCTTAGATTTCCCATTATTGATTTTATAGTACAAACAATACAATTACAACAGGGATTAAAATATTGAAAAATTAGTCTGAGCCTTGAGCTCCAGGAATGTAACCCTGTACATGTTGTAATGAACTTGACTTAACGATGCATTTTTGGGAATAAGTCTGAGATACTACTGTACATTTCTAATAGTAAGCTGATTGGTGAGATGTATTATCAGATCTCATTGAATTTTAATGTATTTTGTATTGTATTGTATTGGAGAGGGTGGGTTTCCCCATGCACTTAGATCAACTGTTGGTCCACTGTGCGTTCCCCTATGATATTCTACCAGTCTCTATTCCCTACCTGTACTGGTGCATGCCTCAGTCCCGACTCAGCCAGTGAGTTCAGCCTCTACTGGCTCAGCGGTATCTTGATGCTTCCCCCATCTACCAGAGGCGCTAGACACTACTGTTGGGCGGGAAATGTCATGAATTTGGCTCAGTGGTCCCCTTAGGACGTGAGGTTCTTTTACGTGCCGTAAAGCTACGACATGGGACCCATGGCTTAAAGTCCCTCCTGGAGGACTTGTTCCCTGAATTTTTCCGCCCTTAAAAATACCACAACCTCCGCCGGGTTTGAACCTTGAGTCACGAGGTGGGAACATTACCCCTAGACTACGGAGGCCGCTGAATTTTAATGTAAGATTTTAACATAATCTTTCTGAATATATATTCCCTTTGTTAAGTCAAGTTGTAGTCATGGTCTGACATGTTCCGTTTAACTATCAAGCATGTTTGTATTATTCGCACATACACATGATATTGCCTGCAAGTATATATTAATATTGGAAAATGGTTCAGAATCCTGAAGGAAGACTGGAGTGGCCTGTCTTAGGACCTTTCTCGATGAAAGACGTTGAGGATACAGCTGATACCATGACTTTTTCTTGTTAGCAGGAGTTTGTGGAACCTGAGACATATTACAATAATGTTACTTGCAATACTCAAGCTTTCTCCCATCCCTTGTTGGCTTCAACCCCATTTGTGGGACAAGCTAAGCAGTCTGAAGCCAGGAACACTGCTGCATCTGCTGAATGTTCAGTGAAAACAGGGCATTCTCAGTAAGTAACATTGTACAACAGTGTTCAGTATTGTAAGAATACGAAATGTGAGCAGAATCTGTGCTCCGGTTCAGTGTAAACCATTTCCAAATGCATTATGTTCTTCACATGTCTTAATATTTGTTTATCACAAATACAAATACAAATACTATAGCCTATTGGCACAAAGATACTGTATGATGACGTTCAAATATTTTTTTCCATTTGTTTAATAAAATTTGGAGTTGGAATAACTCAGTTGGTAAAGAGATTAGGATGACCAAGGGATCATGGATCGATTCCCAACAGAGACAGAGATTTTCTCTTTTTTCACAACACTGAAACTGGCTGTGGGGCCCACACAGAGCACACACATGCACATACCTGTACACCTATGCCTTATTACATGATGCTTAATTAAAGCATAGGATGACTTTACCTTTTTACCTTTCATGAGATGTTCAATTCATGGAATATATTTTGTAGGAGAGATGAAATAATCACAAAAAGTCTCCTTTGAACCATTTTATTTCCTGCCACTGCTGGGGTTATTTTTTGTCCCTATTGCTAGAGCAGTCTCATACAAGCAGTCCAAAGTTATGCAGGATTGATCTTCTCAACAATGGGATTTATGTGAATTTTGTGCCTTATATCTATATAATCTGACACTATTATTATTATTATTATTGGAGGGGGTGGGTTTCCCCATGCACCGCGACCAGTGGTTTATTGTACGTCCCCCTGTGATATTCTACCAGTCTCTATACCCTGCTGATACTGGTGCATGTCATCAGTCCCGACTCAGCCAGCGAGTTCGGCCTCTACTGGCTCAGCAGTATCTAGATGCTTCCCCCATCTACCAGAGGCGTTAGAGACTATTGTTGGGCGGGAAATGTCCTTAATAATTTGGCTCAGAGGCCTCCTTGAGGCATGAGGTTCTTTTACATGCTGTAAAGCTACGACATGGGACCCACGGCTTAAAGTCCCTCCCGGAGGACTTGTTCCCTGAATTTTTCCACCCTTAAAAATTCCACGACCTCCGCCGGGTTTGAACCCGCGTACCTTGAGTCATGAGGTGGGAACGTTACCCCTAGACTACAGAGGCCGCTTAATCTGACACTAAACTGGTTAAGGAGCATCCCTGTCCCTATCTCTGATTTGTCTAAAATGAATGTAATGCAGAAAAATATTGCTGTCTTTATTTATTGTTACAACGTGTTGTCTTAAGAAACAAAGGATTATATTTATGATTCTGAATCAGGATCAGATAACTAGTTACTATAGGATTCTGACGATGGTGTATAACACACAGAGATATTGGGTTTTCGGACTTTATCCATCGTCCTGGTTTTTAAGATAACTAATAAAAACACGACGTTTCGGAAACTGGATCTGTTTCCGTCCTCAGGTGAGGGAAAAACACCTATTCTGTCCAGTCACCTATCATGTCCAGTGATTGAGGCTAGCTCTTTCTAAGGGACCCAACAGAATAGGTGTTTTTCCCTCACCTGAGGACGGAAACAGATCCAGTTTCCGAAACGTCGTGTTTTTATTAGTTATCTTAAAAACCAGGACGATGGATAAAGTCCGAAAACCCAATATCTCTGTGTGTTATACACCATCGTCAGAATCCTATAGTAACTAGTTATCTGATCCTGATTCAGAATCATAAATATAATCCTTTGTTTCTTAAGACAACACGTTGTAACAATAAATAAAGACAGCAATATTTTTCTGCATTACATTCATTTTAGACAAATCAGAGAT